GGGGGTGGGCTTCTTTACAAAAACAGGAATGAGCTCAAGGCAATTATAGAAAAACCCCAGAGAGGTTGTCTTCTTGAAAGAAAACGCTACCTATCCATGAAAAGCATGAGGCTGATGGCTTAATGTGCAGCACCATCTGTGCCTCACCACAGGGGTCTCCTGTCCTGTCTGCTTTATCAGCTACACCCTGAAAATTCTCATGAAAGGCTTTCACTTGACCCCAGCAGACCACCCTGCTGATAGCTGCTGATAAAGTGAGATGCACTATGCACTCAGAAATCGCTCGTTTCTTATCGTCATCCCCTAAACTACTACACTCTCCATCTCCCTAATCCAGAAGAAAGCTCACCCCTAAGGAGATGGGCTATTTCATTTGTGCATGGCCTTGTTCCTGTTGTCACTTAAATACACTCACCATTGAATCGAAGGATTCTCATCCCAAGAGAAGAACAGATGACACCTTTAAGCTAAACAGAAGCAATAAAATACGCTGTAAGTGGGTTCGAATAAGCTTTCGCAAACTGTCCCAGTCTGCTAATACCACTCTCCCTACATTAAACAGGTTTACTTTAAGAAGTGAGAGAAATGATTGTCTCTAGGTCTTCACTCACAGATGTGCCAATTAGAAAGGAAAGAATATTTTAATATCTTTTTTCCATTAAAAATAAATGAAGCTATATTGCCGATGATTTGGAGAAGAGAGTAAGAAAGAAATGATTATAATCAACCACCCCAAGACGAGCATCGCTAGCCTTTGTATTTATTTTCTTTTGGGTCCTTGATTTGGGCTTTTTCCCATAATTTTAATTTTACTATAAATTATGAGATGTGTATCTTCCAATCAGCCTGATGGAGAAAATGATCACACTTCATCATAAAAGAAAGAATAAATGTGCTAATGGTTGCTTACTAGATGAAGACACTTGGCAAACACTTTCCATTTTTATCAATTAAATCTTCTAACAAACCCGTGTAGGGGTCGCTTTAATGTTTCTGATTTTATAGACCAGACAACTGAGGCACTGAGAAGTAAAACCCTTGTCCATGGCCACACAGCAAGAAGACGCAGAGCTGAGACTCAAACCCAGGCCCATCTGACTCCAGGATTTGTTCTAACATAGTGCTCAAGACCCTGGAATCCAGGGGGCCTTGTGGTTGATGGCTTCTGCGGTCATGCACATCTCAGCTCCTTCCAAATGGCCTTTCCGGTTCACCTCTTCAATGTCAGAACCTTTTATTGGTGCCTGTTCTTTGTGTGGCCCATATGAGGATGGGTCTTTGCCTACTGACTACCTGCCAGCACTGACGCATGACTTGCTCATGGCGTCTTTCATCTACCATGCATAAATTCCCATTTCCCATTTGATACATTTTAATCTCTTCCTTTAGTCTGGGCGCTTTGGAACAGATTGTGCACATGGTATTCTACTTCGGTTTTCTCTCCCTCTCCGTTTTTGTCCCTACACTACACTCCATTTCATCCCTAAAGACAATGGTTCTAGCATCTACCACGAAGGTACATATGTCTGGTGAAAAACCCTGCCCTACAGCTTCTGTGCCTTAAGCTCATCCAACAAATGGATCCTACTTAAGATCACTTTTCTTGTCTCTCACCAACTCATACAGTGGTAAGTCCTCAGTAAGACCCCATTTTCCATGTCCATCAGAAACTCTCCAGGGACCCCATTTTCAATGAATACTACTCGCTACCTAAGGGTACTCACTACCCATAACACAATCCAAGCACTTAAACAAGGATTGCTAACAACACTTGAAAAACCATTCCAATTATTGACAGCTTGAGATGGATGATTAAAATGCAACTCCCACAGCTTGCTACATGACAATAATATTGCGTTTCTTTACTTTAGTTTTATTTTAATACTCTAATTTGGACAATTACCCAACAGGTTCCTGGCAAGCATCTGGAAGATATCATTTGGAAAGGACCAAATACAAAATCTCTTACTATAAGCAAATAATAAACTCTCTAAAGTTGCAAAATTGCATTCATGTTGAAAAGCATCCAACACACATGTCCTTACTATAAAAATGTCTGTAATTATTACACATAATCCATATTATGAGAGATTTACAAATTGTGAACTCCACACAGATATGCATTTTCCACCCCTCAGCATAATCCCCAAGTAACATAGTTAATTCTGCCCTTGAGGTATCATTCACATTCAATTTATCACTGATCTGTTGGAAGAAAAAGTATTTCTGCTTAGGACATGTCCAAAAATAAAAATGACTGGTGTGCATTAAAGAATGTGCTCATTCTGTTCATGATGGGAGGAAGAGGTTTTTAAGAAAAGTCATAGTCAATTATTGTCTTAAATCTAGAGAGGACAAAGACCAGTTATTGAATATGTAAAACCTGAGATTGAGTGTATACATTTTTCACTTTCAAGTAACAAGTTGACATCTTACTCTGTCCTACACATTTAGGAGAAATGCAAAGTTACCCTATTTCCTGTCTCTTTTGGTCATTAACTCTGCTCACACTTCCCCAATGGGAAGCAATTCTCAGTCAATAGGCTATATAACAAGCCAGTAATCAATTTAAACCAGACACGTCTCTCCTCGAGACCAAGGGACCGGGGATGGAGGGAGAAAGGTCCTCTTCTCTTGTGCTTTCGTTCCCTCTGAAGATAAAATTTCCTCCCCATTCATCTCACTGGCTCCAGAGCTATCTGTTGACTGTACACCTTAGACCATGTGTTTTGGTTTGACAAGAGCGCCAAAGATCAGCAGATCTCAGGCATCAGCTCTGACATGTAAGCGCTCCCACAACTGCAACCCACTTTTATAGGTATACGGAGTCAAGACGTGTGATTATATAACCTCGGATGGTTGAGTTCAAGTCATCAACTCATGGTTCTTATCTGTAAGGCTGAGCGCCATGGATGTGATTCAGCTGAGGACAGCACTGTTTCCCCAAACACTGCACCATTCTCACCCCAGAACGCTCTGATGGCTCCTGGTGAGGCATCTACAAGCTGATTTAAAGTCTGCAACTCAAATTAGGAAGCCAGATGTAGTCAAGGCCAAGCTGAATGAGTTTCAGACTTGAACCAGCCTACAGGCACCTCACAAGAACCCATTAGAGCTTCTTGGGATCAGAGTGGGACTGCGTTTGGGGAACACCACTCCCCAGCTGAACCACATCCATAGCGCTCAGCATTAGAGATAAAAACCAGGAGTTGATGACTTCAGCTCAACCATCAGAGGTTATATAATCACACGTCGTGGTGACACACCTACAGAAGTGGGCTGCCGTTGTGGTAGCTATCGTATGTCGCAGCAAGTAAGGACGCTGATGAGACCCCAAAGCAGAACTTCTGAATTTCTTCTACACTTCTTCTACAGGAAGGCAAAAAGGGTACCAGAATAGAGATCAAAGGCCAGTGCCCCGTTCCCTGCTTGGCTCCCAGCTAGACACGGGATTTCTGGGACTCAATTTTTGCATCTGTAAGTGATTAAGGTGAATTGGTCAATTTCCCAAACCCCTTTGCATCCTAAAGTTTCTATACCCACTGCAAATGAGAATATCAGCAGGGTCAAAGCCATTCTAGCAAGTGAAAAGAACAGTGCCTGGGCCCATGGAACATTTCCGCAATGGAAAAGGCAAACACACCTTCACAGAGGAATCCCCTTCCCTGGAAGATTTTTCACATGCAGTTTCACAGGTGAGACAACAAAAACTGCTGTTGAACAGATCGTGAATCTTTCCTGCTCTTGGTCCCAAAAGGCACCCGCATGCTTTATAACCAACCTGGATTATTACAGCATAGCTTGGAATGCACATTTCTTCCACTACCTTCTTGAAATCTCTAAGAGAGATACACAAATAATACTAGTTGTATACCTTTTGCAATATGGAAAACAGTAAAAATCTTTCTTTGGGAAACACAACATATGGAGAAAAGGGCAAACACACTTTCATGAAGCAGTTAGCCAAGTGCTCTAAGAGATGTCTTCTCAATGGAGGAAATTTTCATTTATACCTGAACGTTCCTTTTGAAGGCAAAGATGTTCTTGGTTAGTATCTTTTCCAACTCCTTATCATAGGCTTAAAATGAAAATGCTCATCCTTCAGGTTAAGTGATATACACACTCATATAGACAGATACACACATTATTATAAATACACTAATAACATTTTGCATTAACACAGAAGATGAAAGTGCTTTATAGAAGATACTTTGGCTTATCACTCCTCAGGATAGGCATGAAATGGCCAGGGAAAGGGAGAGTTTGCCAACTTTTCTAAATGACAAAAAACTGCAAAGCTCATGTGGTTTGCTCAAATTTGTCTCATGAGCCTTTTGCAGGGCCTGATAGAACATCGAAGTGCTAACTTCAAGTTTAGACTGGCTTATACTACACTCCTCTCATTAAAAGGTGGCAGCCTTCATTTGCAGAGATGCAGTGTTTTATTCTTCCACTCTCTTTGTCCACGGGATCCTCCTCCAGCCCCAGCCCACAGCCATGACCGCCCCCAAGCAGTCTGAAAGTGGCTGCTTGCTCACTGGCTTGGAGATTCACTCGGCTTCATCTCCCTGCCTTCTGCTACCCTCCCCTCCATGGTCAGTGTGCTTTAAATTTGCATCTCAGACCACCTTACGGTTTTACCCCCATTTCAACCTGACAGTCTCACTCCAATCCGACTCCTTCATGTTTAATCTAAGGGCTTCTTTAAGACACAGCCCTTATTTAAGAAATGCCCAAAGCTCCTCCACTCAACCAGCCAATGAGGAGCTCTGTATGCCACTTGAGCCTTCAGAATGTCACTGGTCCTGACCTCAGCCTTGTGTTCTGTCCAGGGAAGGAGATGGGGTAAACAGAAAGCCACCAAGTCAGTGACCACGAGCCATGGCTTCCTTAGGAAGGATGCAGCCCCCCACCACGTGTCAGGGTCTCCGGAAGGTTTCCAGGCAAACCTCAAAGAGCCCCTTCAGTCCTTCTGGGGTAATGCTGGAAAGAGGAATTACCAGGAGGGCTGTGTAGGTGTAAGGATAGTGGTAGGCTAGGTAGCAGACGTCCCCATCATGCGGGAAGGTGACAGCAAAGGTGAGGCTGTAATAACACTTCCCAGATGCTCCCCCGATGGCAGCTGCACCCTGGCGGTAGTGATTCCTAGAAGAGAGAGGAGAAGGAAGCAGTGTGAGGGAGAAGTGGGGAAATGGTCGTTTAGCATCCTAGACGCTATAAGCCTCTTGTGTGATACCGGCACAACGTCTTCCCTCAAAACTCCTTGTGGATGAAACGTAGAAAACCAAGAACTGGGCAAGTGAGCTTCCTGCCAGGGTGTGAGCCATTTCAGCAGTGTGTAGGCTGGTTCCTCTGCATCCTGATTGTGGCATATATGCCACGAGCCTTTCTTTGCTCTGTCTGAAAAAGAAGCCTACAGAAAATAAAGGAACCTGTGAACAATTCTGTTTTACCTGAAATTCTATTGCAGGCATATACTCTATCACCCAAATTTGGTTTTCCCCAACCTCTGCCTCTGCCCAAATCACCTGAGCACAGCTGTTCCCTTCCTTTCCCCCTGCCCAGTGGGTTTATTACTCATCAATCCTATCTACTGAGTTCCAACTCAAGCAATCACTACTATATATTGATACATACATCCAACTTGAGATGTAACATATGTCGCCTTCCGTTAACACTGCAACAAACCATCGTGTGGATGGAGAAACAAAAGCTTAGGAAAAAGGATGTGTCTAAGATTGCAAGGCCAGTAAGTGGTCAGGACAGGACTCGAACCCAGGTCTGTCTGTCTTTGTTCTTTCCACTACATGATACTTTCCTCCCAAAGGAATACATTTATCACCCCAAATGTGGTCTGGCTCCTTAGAGCTTGAGTGTGCATACTTTCCTTTGTCAAAGATGAAGAACCGATTTCGATACTTCAGAGAACAGTATCAAAGCAAATTGCACCCAGAAGTACATTCCAAGCAATATTTTCCCCACACGCTGCCAGACACGTTCATGCCTTGCCTGCTGACGCGGAGACAGCTGTGCGGGCTTTCCTGAGAAATGTTACCATCCAGGCTGCATTATAATGCAAAATACACCCTGACACCAAAAGATGTAATTCCACCTTTGAACACTTACAATGTTGGCTTACTTGTCTGTTGTTCTTTGGGGTTTTACTGGGGGAGAGGGTGGAAAGAGAGAAGAAATAGCAGAAAATGATTCTATGTGTTCTTGCAAAATATAAAAACACAGATTCTTCTTTTCTGTCTCTTTGCTACTGTCATGCCACCCCCAACCAAAGCAAAACAAAAATCAAGAAAGCAATAAAGAAAGAAACAGAAAATCTACTGTCTTGCTTCCTGCGGTTCTGTGGTTTTTTCAATATTTATAAAACTAGGAATGGGAATAAGAGACACTGGTAGTGCCATGGACTATGACCGGACACATTTCTCTTGCCTCAGCTTCTGTCTATATGGCACCTAAAGCCTTGGTCATTCCGGGGAAACAAGGGTACCTGGAGTGACTCATGCCATTCAGCTTGTCAGTGTCACATTAATAGGACGTATTTCCTTTGTTACTACAGGAATAGAAACTTCAAAAAGGTATCTTACCATAGTGCCAGGTGTCTCTTGATACCTAACGGGGACGGTTCTGTACTATGTCTAGCTAATGCTCTGATTATTAGGAAGAATGTAAGAAAGCAGGTGCAGCTCAGAAAGCATGCCAGCCACATATGCCCTACCTTTTATTCTCCTTCTGATTTCACTCAAAGGTTCTGCTGCAAACGCACAGTCAGTTTGTACCTAGCTGAACAACAGGTGCTAGCCAAGCACACCTCTCTCCAGTGGAAGAGCCGCATGAAATGAAATGAGCCAGTCGAAATGGTCAAAATTTTGACAACCAAACTGTAGAAGAGTGCATCACCTGTAAGCATGTGTCAGTGGGAGTGTAAACACACGCCTACACACACAAACCACATATACATATTCGTGAAGGTAAAGGCAGGTGGAAACACACATCTAGTGCCTCTACATCCCCAAGTTCCTCACCTACAAACAGTGAAACACAACCTGCGTCTTTCTTCAAGAATACTGACCTCCCCGAGGGCCTGTGAGGGTGGTCTCGCTGGACACAGGCCTTGCTTCCTTTTATGTTTCCCACTCTACTAGGTTCACTGAAGTCACAGCACAAGCAAATTCACCCTAAGCGAACTCAACCTTTTCCCACCAGCCACTGGAGAGCAAGAAAAAGACAGTGAGAATGTAAAATCCCCAGAGCTATTGTCTTTCTGCCATTCAAGCCAAACTTGGGCTCCAAGATAGGGATGGCTACAGAGAAAGGGGAACAAAAATAAAATAGGATAATTTTAGCTTTTGAGCTTCTGCAGGTCTGTCCAGATTCTAGTAATTTCAGGGACACACAGGGAATTCAGTTGGCAGTTTTGGCTTCATGAAATCTACCTTCTTGCACCTCCAACACAAACCTGCAGTAGCTCGGTGGGCCAGATTCTCGTGGCCAAGACTAAAAGCTCCTCACTGAGAAGCCAGTCTTCTCCAGGATGGTTGCAGACTGCTAGAATTTCAGAAAAATGGGCATCACCTCATTTAGGATGCGTTTCAGCTAAAGAAGATTCAGTTACAGCCCTAGCCTGGGGTCTAAACTCCAGCTGGACCTAAAAGCAATTGTCAGGCTTCCCCACTTGAGTCTCCTGATGGTAGTGTTGCAGCAGAAGGAGCCAGGAGATGCGTCTACTTCTAGGGAAACTTTCCTCTTCATAAACTTTCAGACTTTCCCAGGATCAGCTCCACAGAGTGAAATGTTTGATGAATCTCAAGTGAAACAACTGGCTTGCTACAATTCAGTTTGTTCATGATAAAGTGAGATCCCATCAACAAGTAATTTTTATTGTCCCCAATAAGTATGTGAACAAACTGAGGTATGTTTGTAAGGCAGTAACATTCAACCTGCATATTTTAAATGATTCCCTTATTTTTCATTTCTTTCTTCCTCATTCAGCCAACTCCTCTTCTTCCTGGAAGACTCAACTCAATTGTTTCCTCTTTCAGGAAGACTTCCCTGATATCTGCCCTTTGGCATATTTCTTATCACACTGTAACTTTCCTTCACTGCTACACTTTACGGCAGAGATTATGCTTATGCATTTGTGTATCTTCATGGTTGACATAGAACCTGGACTTAGCAGCTATTAAGTTAAATGGAGCTATCAGAATAAATGGACCTTAGCTGCTATTAGCATAAAAGGGCCTAAGACTCCAGGAGTAATAATTAGGATGTGTAATGCATTTTAGATCCAATCCTATTGATATCCTTTCAAAGTAAGTATTATTACATATACTTTACAGATGGGAAATTTTAGGATCACAGATGTTTAGTGTCTTAGCAACTCCACACAACAAATATAGTAATCAGGATTTAACCCCAGGTGTGGGCTTACCCCAAAACCAAGATTTTTTTTCATTCTATCACCTGTCTGTTAGGAATAGATGAAAGGACAACAGGTCTTTTGGTCCAAATGAATAAGTAAGAATTTGAAGTTTTGGTCTTCATAAAACAGGGCTGCTTATAAACTTAAAGTCTAAAATAACAGGAAGGATATAAAATGATCCAGAAAAGAGCTAGTGAACATGGCCCATCTCACGATGATTCTTTACGTCATTGGTATTTGGTGCCACCGAGATGTTTCACCTAATCGTTGTTAATTGTTCGCATTCATTGAACAATTACTATTCTAAGTTTCCCGATTGTTCATCTCACTTAATCTTCAGAACAGTTCTATCAGTTAGGTACTGTTACTATCTGCCTTTTACAGCTGGGAAACCTGAGATTGAAAGGGGTTGCAAAAATTTGCCCAAGGTCATACCATTCATGAGTGATAGAAGTTTAATCCCATGAACCTCTAGATGGAAGAAACCTGGTGAAAATCAAGCATGCTCCCAGATTTGCCAGACCCCAGATAGGTCACCCTGGGTCAACAATGACCCAGGGTTGCATAGATCCAGCCCTTCCATAATGAAAAAGCTCCGCTTTGATTTTCCATTCTCTGAGTCATTTATCCTTGGAAGGATCTGCACTTTTATAATCATAAAGCCTTCAATGAAGCAAGGAGCAAAGAAACAAATTCATAGTTATGAACTCGATCCATTTCCATTTGCACTTAAAAATATTCTGGGAAGTCTTTTTTTTTTCCTGTGTGTGCAGGAAATAAGCAAATGCCAAGATAGAGAGTGAATCAGATAATCTTACAATGATGATGGCTCTGTTTAACAAGGGTGCATCATTCCGCTTCACAGGATCTAAGCCAAGTCACCAGGCTTCCCTGCATCTGCAGCATTTCTGATATTCTCTCTAACACCAAATCTCACTCCTGAGATCCCTCAGAAGGACGCATGATGGCAGAGCTCTTGTATGACATTCGTCTTCATGAGTGAGCAGTTCCATCTCCTCTCACGAACGGAGATAAATGTCAGAGGAGATCAGCCGCTGTGCATTACACGGCCGCTCTGAGCAGCAGCTTCCCTCCCTCTGCCCTTCAGCGCCAAAATTACTTTAGACCAGAGCTGAGAGAGAATTTGAAAAGGTGTGAGGCATGTACGTTAGAGGGAGAAGGAGGCTACAGGAAAGTAAATAAAGCGGAAACTAAAACTGTCCTTGCTTACTTTTATGAGAGGCATGGTAAAATGAGTCTGCCCATTTATGTTCTTCTCTCTCGAGGATTACTTTTTTATTTTCTGGCCTCGTGGTCTGCAAGGTGGGTGGGAGAAGGGGGTGGGATGGAAGGGGAGGCAGTGCTCTGAGGGAGGGGCAAGATGGATCTTCAGAACACAAGAGATAATATTAGAATTTCTTCTTAAATGCATTATGATCTAGGTAGTAAGTGAGAAATTAAGCTGTCTACAGTTTACTATGAAGCTTGACAGTACTGCCCTTATGCAGTCCAAGTCAACCTAACAGGATGAATAATTATACAACAAACTAGGTTATAGTACAGCAATTTTATGCATTCTTCTGTTTGTTTTCCAGGGCTAGATTATGAAAAATGCATTAAATTTTAAGACCCCAGTTTTCAAGTCAAATTGTTAGGTATTGACTGCTATATGGGAGCCTTCTAATTTTTTTGCTTTTAGATTCTGGGGAGGTATTTAAGCTTACAGAAGCCTCCTCAAGTGGATTTACAGGTTATATTATCTAAATTAAACTAAACTTCTAGAGATTATTACTATTTTTTTTAATTCTGCTTAGAAGCTATAAATTGATGAAAATATTACATTTCAAGCACAAGCCACCACAGAAGTGAAAGAATGAACATGGCCTACCCCCTACCCTTAAAACTAGCTCTTTCTCAAGAATTTGTGTAAAAACAAGTGAGATCTGGGAAGTTAACCAGATGTTTTCAAAATTAGCTAAAAGACTATTTACAACTGTTTTTTTACAACTATATTTTTCATGGGGAACCTTAAGCTATTAATAATATAAAAATATAACAATTAGGTCGACATTTAAAATTACTGCTTGTTTCATCTTTTTCTCTTCATTTAAAAAGCTTGACTTTTTGTATGTTTTCTGTTGTATATAATATGGTATATTAATGTGCATATAACTGATTAAAGATAACTTAGGAACAAATCTATATTGGAAGTTTATATATGAATACTATCAAAATAGTTTGGAGACCATTGTCTAACTGATGATCTGACCCACAGAGCAGTCAGCCCATCTGCTTGACTGACTGATCACCACTGCTGTCAGTTTCTGAAGGAAATGAATATCCCATTCCTGAGCGTGTTTTTTCTCCTCCATCCTTCCGTGTATATACCCAGGCACCTGGCTCACAATCCTCTCCACAAGTACCCTGGCATTCCCTTTAGAATAGAGCAAGAAATCTGGGAATTTAACAGCATAATAGAAACAGAACTTTTGAATGTCTAGTGACATTTAGAGACAAAAATACGGAGGTAAAGTTCTTTCGATTTAATATACCAGCGTGAAGAAAGGGATGAAGCAAAGAAACTGTCTGAAGTTGACCACCTCAAAAAATTATGGTGGGTGAAAAGGGAGAAATATATTGCATAATCTAAGGCATTCTACAGTAGCAACAGGCGTTCTGATTTGTGGCTGGATAGAGATACAAGTATCTATCCTGTTGTTAAATCACCCTGCTGGAAATATGTTAACATGACGTGGTGAATAATTGTACAACAAACTACATTACAATGTGGCGATCATATCCATTCATCTCTGTTGTATTCATGACTGGAGCAAGAAAAATGAATTACATTATACATTCATGGTTTCCATGTTACTCCCCTGTTGCTCTTTAATCACATAGCAATTGTCTTGTTAATGAATCTAAAAGCTATTAATACTTCACATTGGCTTTCCTTAGGCCAAGCCCCTGCCTCTAGGTGTGTGGCTTCTTCCTTCCCCTCTTGGCAGGTGCTTGGTCCTCTTAAGCCCGCTCCTCACTCCCCACCTCCATCGAGATGCCTCCAGCGAGAGCTGTACTCCCTCCTCCGAGACAGGACACTGAAGGTTATGTCTGCCTAATCTCTTACTAGGCTCCAGACCAAGCCAGCTGCAAGATGGGTCTTTCACATTTTTTTTTAGAGCATACTTAAAGTTATTCTTGACATACCAAAGTCCAATTTCAGCTTTCATTATTTTTCCCTGGCCTCTATCACCTAAGATGATTTTCAGTCGAAGTCTCTTTGGACCATAAAAAGATCCTGAGAGTCTCTATGTCAGTGGACCAGAGAGTAATCGCCCTATAGGTGAATGGAAAAACCAATGAAATTGTCATCGTTTGCTATTGTTCTAAAGAACAGTATTTGCTATTGTTCTATAATGAAAACACTATCCAAGTCTGTGTCTTAATACATCAAGGACTAAAGACTGCCAACTCTTTTATTACAAACTGTTAGTGAACCCAGCCTGGTGTTTTGTAGACCATCCTTATCTGTATAGTGATTTTTGCCTCTTTGTCTGATAGAGCAACAAGATTTGTGAGCTTCCCTATCAATGTTCTGTCCTCACACTCTCAAAACCCAAGAGGCATAAGCATACATGCTCTCTTCCTTTAGATATTGATAACAATCCTTAATTCTAGAATGTCTGATAAGAAACTAGAATGTCTGATAAGAAACTAGAATGTTTTATAAGAAACTAGCAACGAGCTTATAACTAAATACATAATTCCTACCTGTCCTAATAATTCCTATCCTGTTTTCTTTCTTGTAAATTTGTGTTTTATTTTCCAACAAAAGAAAATGCACAAGTAAGTGATTCATAGTCTGGAATCTGTTTCTTTTATCAAAATATATGGACAACTTAAATTTCATTACAACTTTACAAGATAAATTGGTGAAAGTGGCTACCAATCAGGGTTGAAAATGAATTTTGAGAGCTCTCCCTCTTTTATTTTTTTCCAAAAAATCATCTTACTAGGAGGAAAGGTTATTGCAGTGTATCTGTCACATATTGACTCTCATCTACTTCGGAAAATTGAAGTAAAGGTTGGATAAGAATAGGCCAGAGGATCTCAGACTTCTTGGTCACAAGGGACAGATGCAAACAGGTTAAGAGCTAAAGCTTCAATGCATCAATCACCAGCTGAATCTGTGTGACTCCTAATGTCAACAAGGTCTGAAGGTTTTAATGCATTTAAAGAAGAATTGATGACTTTTCAGAAAATCAAAATATATTTCTTGGGGGCTAATGTGGGCTCCCTTTAACATTCGTATGCTTCCGAAAGACAGGGCATCGACCCCTCAAGCTCTGATAATAAGTCTAGCAGATAAGCACAGAATGTTGAGGTTTAGAAGATCAACATGGAAAAGCAGGATATTGAGAGAAAAGACAAGAATGGAGAAAAGGAAGTTTACAAGACTCTAACTTACTTGTAGTAACAGATTTCATAGCCTATCCGCATCCAGGTGGGTCTGCCAAGAAGAGCCTCCTTCACAGAATACAGAGTTGGCTGCATCCCTACACAAAATAAAGGCAGGGTTAATCCCCTGGGGAGAGAGAAAGGGGGGTGGGGGGAAGAGGGGAGTGCTTGGCTGAATCAGGGCCCTCGGTGATATCTTAATCCCAGGAACCTGTGAATGTTAACCATATATGGCAAAAGAGACATTGTAGATACAATTGAATTAAGGATCTTGAGATGGGGGAATTGCCTTGTTGGACCCTAAATGCAGTCAAAAATGTCCTTATAAGAGCCTTGACTACAGAGGAGAAACAATGAGAACGAAGTACATCTGAAGCAAATTGGAAGATGCTACACTGCTGGCTTTGAAAGAGGGAGGAAGGGACCACAAGCCACGGAATACAAGAAACGTAGCGGGAAAAGCTGGAAAAGAAAAGGAAGCAGAAAATCCTCTGAAATCTCCAGAGGGAGCAAGGCCTTTCCAACACCTGGACTTTAGCCCAGTGAGACTCATATTGGACGTGTGGACTCCAGAAATGTAAGAGAATAAATTTGCCTTGTTCTAAGTCGCCACCTTTGTGAGTTTGTTGCAGCAGCCACACAAAGCAAATATAAGAGTCAGGGCTTCTATTTTCTCTTTCTGTGCCAGTAGGAGCCTATTTTAGTTGGCACATAATAGAGGCAGTATCTTGCGCTCAGACCTGGAGATATGAGAACATTTATTCCTTAGTCAAAGCCACTCAAAAAATTAGTATATGAGCCGCCATAGCACACAGAATCTCCCATCCCTACAAATGTCCAAAATAAATATGGGCTGCTAGTCAGTCTTTATCCCTCGCGTTTCTCCTCCAAAGTGGCCACACGTATTCGGGGAGAATTTAAGCTTTCTCCAGTGTTTTCGAGCATGAATCAGTGTGGTCCAATTGGATCGCGCTGTTCTCCTGTTTGTGCCAAACAGATCAATACATTTGCTAGTGTGAGATTTAGGAGATGAGGAAAAGCAGCGAAGGAGGAGGGATAAAGGCTCACTGACCTTCAAAAGTTCAAGGTGGAGCTGGGGTGAGGCGGTGATGGGGAAGCAGCAGTGTGTTATATGGGGCATTAGCAATCCACGGCAGAGGGGGGATTTCCAGGTCCCCTGGAGTAGCAGTTTGCCATAGGCTGGCCTCTGTCTCTCCATCCCTGGCAGCCAAAACATGTCAAACCCTTTGGGAACCCAAGCAGGGCCTCTGGTAGTACTCCAAACATGCACAGGGCGACAGGAGTCCCGGTGTTAGTCAGAAAAGTCTCTGCCCCCCTATAGCCCGTACCGTAGTTAAACTGGCTGTTGGCCTTCTCGCAGTTGATGACGTTGAAGCGGTAAAGGACCGCAGCCTTCATTCTGCTCACCCGGAAGTAGAACCACTGCTGGTGCTGGGCACTGTTCACATCTGCGTTCACCAGCAAGTCGTACTCAAACCTGCAAAGCCAGCAGCAAGACTGGAAGGTTAAATGTCTGCAAGGTGACTTCCTGCCCTGCAAATCTACACACGTCAGGCTCCGCATGGCAGGAGTTAAGACCCAGGATCTCACAATATGGGACACAGGCTGCAGGAATTCCAGAAGGGAGAGAAGCTTCTTGATATTAGCAGAGTCTGTTACACAACTGTAGCACATGTTTTTATTAAACTATAAGGAATTTTCTCTCCAGCTGCAAAGATGTGAATGTGCTCTATCCCAGAGAAAATGCAATCACGTCTTTCAGGACATGCCATTACTATTTGATGCTAGAATTGTTTTTGAACCTTGGTCTGTTTGTATGGAAAAATGGTAATAGTGTCTATACATGTGGCACTGTGTGTAAAGATTCAGTAGTGTAGTATATGTAAACCCCCAGCAAAGCAACAGACATGACCTAGGCTACCAGTGCAGAAGTGGTTTGCTTATTTTTCCCCCTTTTTAATTTATTTGACTTAATACAGTAGAGTACACAAATCTTAAGTGTACAACTCAGTGAATTAAAATCAATTCATCTGGATACACCTGTGGACAATTACCCAGATCAAGACATAGGACATTTCTGGTGCCCAAGGAGGCTCTCGTGTGCCCCCTCCCAATCACCAAGTCTTCACAGATAATTAGTTTTTTGAGTTTCAGCAACAGAATTAGAAATGCAGTTAAAGTTCATCTAACATTACTATCAGTATATTTCACATGGAAAAATATTATTGCCCCATTCCCTTGGCACACTCTTCTAGAGTTACTCTTCTACAAAGGGTAATGTATTTGCACTGACCCATTCATACTCTCCCACTCTGGACCTCTGATAAATGGCATTGTACAGTGAGATTTATAGAAGGGTAGAGCTCTGCCTAAGATGTATCAGAGCAGTGCAAGACTAACTGATGGGGTCCCACTCCTCACACTGTCACACTAAGCACCACACACTAACCACTGAGCCACCATACACCAAATGGAGCATAACCCTCTGTGTAGCACTCATAAGAACAGTTTTGGAAAGTCTAGACCCTCAGATTGTCTGCTTGCCCACAGTCCTCCTTCCAAAATCAATCATAAAAACTCCTTAGCTATAAATAGGTGTGTTTTCTGCCACTGTAGTCTGTGACCCTGACCACAGCTGATTGGTTTAAGATTCTACATTCCAGCCAGAGGCAGATATATGGAGAGAGAACTGAGCAAGGCCAGCAGTTTGGGTACATCCAGGATTGATGATTGTCCCACTGGACAACTCCTAATTAGGTCTTCTCTCCTGCAGCCTTTGGACATAATATAAGAGAGCAGGTGCACTAAAAGCAGGGTCCCCAGGAAGAGGCAGAAGCCGGGCTGGTAACAGAAGGAGAAGAAGGCTGAGGAAGAATCTTAACATGTTGCATTTCCCTCCTTCAGCCCAAGTAGCTTGGCTCATACTTGTTTTATACATTAGGTCTCCTTCAAATAGCTCATGTAAAAAAAATAAAAATAAAGAAGGATCACCTCTTACCTCCCCCCAGAAAAGAAAAACTGCAAAACCGATGCCCCAGGTAGATACAAAGTGGGTCCAAGCTATACCAACTCCTGCGCTCCAGCCGTAGTGGAGGTGCATGCCTGCATCAGCACTAATGCTGACAGAGCTTACCACGTGCCAGGCACTATCCTAAGAGCTTCATGTGTGTTCTATGACTCTCAGGACAATGCCCTATGATGTGGGTGCTATTACTGCCCCCATTTTGCAGGTGAGGAAATAAAGGCGTGGAGTCAATAAGGTAACGTGCTCAAAGTCTTCTGGTTGGAAAGAGGTGAAGGTGCCCTGGTAGTTTGCTCCCAAAGTCTGTGCCTGCCACGCCATCACCTGCTGTGGACTGCTGTTTTCAGCAGTTCACTCACTGGAGATGGATTATGCATCTTGCTTTCTGGTACATGGCAAATACAGACCACACAGCTATAGTAGAAAGAATCGTAACACAGCAAGAGTAGCCCTCTTTTCTGCCACTGGGAAGTTTTGTTTTATTTCCCTCCATTAATGTGTGCAGACCTAGACTTCCCTTGCCTATGAAATACTTTTCTATTACTAAGAGCTCACTGACAGATTCTGGCAGAGAGGCACAGCACAACACACCCCCTTGAACGAAGGATAGCTCACCTCTCTAGGGGGAGCCCAGGGTTTCTATCACCCAAATGCAGAGCTATGAGAACAGACAAGAAAAGGTACAGGAATAGGGGACCCTGGACACCCTGCCACGTCAACAGAACCAGCCCCAGCATCAGTGGAAGTAACAAAGTGCCCCCAAACCCAAATATGGACCCATCATTTGGAATACAGGTGTCGTCAGGACATTCACCTCTAGTCTCCACGGTGCTATGGCATCAGCCAGTGAGCCCCCTAGTGGTGAGCTGGTAAATGTTTAACAACCGACTTGGGACAAACGTCCTGTGCACTATTTGCTGGTTTTTATGGTGTAAACACTCGCACCATGGCTGATTTCAAACTACCAGTGTGAGGTCACTGTAAAAGCAATAGGGAAGAGACAGTCACAACCTGCTCTCTTCGGCTGCCAGGAGCTACCCCTGGGGCTTTCCTTACTTACTCTCGCACTTGGATGGCTTTGCGAAGATTTCCGGACTCAAACTGGGAGAAGAACCTTAGGCCATCAGAAGCAGTGTCTTGCGAAGGCCTGTAATGAAACAGGGAATGTGTGAACTGGATTCATTGCTATTCTTGAGCACAATTGGACATTTCTTAAGAGAGAAGCTTTCTCTTACAGATCTTTAGCCTGAATTTTCATCGCACTGTCTTAGGAGCAGGAATGAATTACTAACATAAAATACTCTAATTCTCATTTAATCACAGGATATTCCAGGTCCCTCCCACCACATTCCAGTGACACTCAAGACCACCTACCAAGGCTCATCTAAACTGAAGACGACTTTATTTATAACATCACTTGGCTGGATGAGCCTGCGGACATCCTCAAATATCTTGATCCTGGAAAGGAAAATTGGAAAACATTTTAAGGGTTGGCCCTTCTTCATTACCCATCCAGCCTATGGTTATCCAGGAAGGGCCAAAATGTTAATAAAGCCCCAACCTTGAGCTGAAATTGTGCAAAAAAAGTGCCCTCCTTCCTTTTCTTCTTTATCAAAAAATAAAACTACACCACAGCAAAGTAGGAAGCCAGAAGGAGTTGGAATACAGGAAATTGGGGGCCAGATTTTCATTGGAAGATTCTTGACTTGAAAGAAAGTCTTGTCAAGGGCATTTGGGCAAAAGGACTTTGAAGGTTTCTGCCTAAGTGAATAAGAGGTCTTTGGTCCTGAGACGTTTTGAGGGAGACATTATGATCATTGACTGTCAGCACCCTCAAGGTCTGGAAGGGCCCCAATTTGCCTTTGAACACTTGTGTCATTTACATTCCTTGGGTTCTGTCTGTTTCAGAAGACTAAGGTTAATCTTCTGGCTGAGAAAACACAAATATCTGGGAGATTTAAGAAAGGAGGAAGGAAGCCCAAAGGATCTTTCAGATATCCTCCTTGCATTTCCAATCCAAGTCTTTGGGGTGGGGCGGGAGAAGGTGGTGGGGGTGATAGACATGAGGTCCGGACCCAGGTCAGCCCCTCTGATGTGTTTCTTAGGAACCTGAGCATGGCAGGTAACAGGCAGGGAGGTGAGGTCAGAGACATCAGCCAGGAGCCCAGGTGGGAGCAACTCTCGGGATCCATCGCCAATTTGATGGTGAAATGGAAAATAAGGTAACGAAACTATTGGTAGGTACACTTTGCTCCACTGACGTAGTATATGCATACTCATTTTTTTTTTCGAGGAAAGTAATTTTTTCCTTGGCTTTAACAATTTCCATTTAACCTCACTATGCTGATTCAAAGGTAATGCTCCCTTCCCTGCATACTGAGAATAATCCATCACCCAGTGTTTCTTCCCTGCAGATGTATGTTTTCCTTAAAATCCTCAGTGATGCAGCAAAATGATTCTCCAAGCCCATCCGAGTACTGTCAGGTTGGGACTGTGAGACAAAGGTATATCATTTCCTCTCATTAATAAAAGATCAGGTACCAATTCCTAGTGAACAAGAAAAGGAATCCCAAATAATCCATACTTGTCTTTTCCTGAGAACCTTCAGAGATGGGGTGAGGGGTTGCATTAGAATCATCTGAGCAATTACTTTTCTGGAAACACATGCCTGCTACCACCCCACACACGGTTCTGCAATGTCCTGGTCGGGAAGCAGGCTTGTGTGTTTGGCAAAAGTTTCCCAGTGGGTTTTAACATGCTCCTGATGAAGGCTCCCTTTCCCACAGGGAGCAGAACTATCTGTAAAACCATTCCACCTATAAAAATGTTAAAGAAGAGGAAAGGCATAGCTCCCAAATCAGGAGCGCCGTCACCTTTGGATTCCACATCTGCGCTCCAACAGAGACTGAGCAGCGGGAGGTGGACAGTGTCCCCAGAGATCAGGAAACGCCATCATCTTGAAGTCAGCCACAGACCTGGTTCTCCCGGCTTTGGCCATATAAAGATAGGGGTCGTGGAAAGGGACATGTTTGGGATGTGTCTGCAGAAGCTTATCTATTTCTTCAGTAGCTTCTTTAGTCTTAGCGGAATTGGAAAAGGAGGCACTAATCCTTGGGCAAGAAACAGCTTCGATGTCCCAAGCATCCTCTTTGAGAGAAGCCTGAACCTCAGGGGTTTTGTTTCCAGAAGAATCTTTCCCATGGCCACTGGACTGTGCCTTTTGGTATGGGCTCACTCCAGGCTCTTTTTTGGAGGTTAGATGTGCATTGGACCTCCCCGTCTTCACTGTACTCAGAAGGGAAGCCTGGACTGTGTCTTCTCTTTCTTGACTGAAGGAGCTTTGGTCCTTATTCAAGCAATGCCATTTTGGGGAGGCAGCAGTCGGAATGTGCTGGTGATTGGCATACTGAGCCTCTTCAAAGTTCAAATCGTCTCCAGGCCTGGACTCCAGGACCTTTGGGTTTAAAGTAGAAAAGAATATGTCAGTGTTTCCTTCCAGCAGAGGATATAATTTGATCGCCATCCTCACCTTCTGGGCACAGAGCTTAACATAAATCCTATGAATTGGGAAGCTTTTTCCAAGGCCAGCCAAGGAAAGACTAAGCTCTCAGAGTTAAATCAGTAGCAGAATCACAGAAACTCATGCTTGGAAGGGGCTTTGGGTGAGACTAGAATAATTCTACACAGTACAGTGAATGTCTTCTCCAACATCTCAATTAGCTGCCACCTGGTTGAACCACCTCATTTGCAGGGTCTTCACTGCACCATGTGGTGCTGCCTTTCATTTGAGGATCATCTCTGATGGTTGAAAACAAAAGTCTTCCTTACACTGAACTGAAATTTCCTTCCCTCATTTTTTTTACCCACTGATTCCCTTCTGCTTTCTGGACTGAAACAGAACACGCTAACTCCCTTCTACATGTGATTTAGCTTGTACCCTCAGAAGTGAACAGCTTCATGCTTTATTTGAGTCATAAGAAAATAACAGAGCTCAAAAGAAAGGTATAAAATCCGGGAGGCCACACAGCAGTGAGAGCAGCCCCTGGCCCCTGGATGAATATTACCAATTATAAAGTCCTCCATTTCTTTCTACTATCAAAGAACCCTGGAATCAGACTGGCCACCTTCAGGAAGCCTTCCAGTGCAGTGTTCCCACTTTGACAAGGGAACAATTAAATCATCAGGAATTCTCACTTGCTTTCTCAGTATACGGGGGCAGGGCACTCTGCCCTCCAGACCATAGGCAGCGAGGTATACCTTCATCCCACTTCCATCCTCGGCATCAGGTGTCAGAATGAAGGACAAGGACCCTCATGGGCACACTAGCTTGGCCACCTTTTTGAGATTTTTTTGCTCAGACTTCTGCTCTTCTCTTGGAAAGATCCCAGAAGCAGACTGCTAATTATGAGCAATGCTTTCCATCTGGAAACCTCTGTTTGGCTTCCAAGGTTCTGTAAATGACCCACCATGCATTGTTAAGAATCAGAACCGTGGCATATGTCTACCTCAAAGTTACAGGAGAGCTCAAGACACATGGCCTCATACTGTGTCAGGTCCTCTTCAGGTCGGTCAAGACCAGGTCTGGAACTCAACTTGGTAACATCTGTTTCCAAATCATCCTGCAATGAAATATTTTTTTAAAAAAAATTACAATCAAGAAGGCTACCCCTGAGACACGTGAAGACAAGCTTACATATGTGATTTTTCAGAATCCTGGCACATGGTTTCCTTGCATCCAGATTAGAGCGCTAGTGTCTGCCAAGGATAATTTAGTATGCCCACTTGTATTTTTTAAATAAAAAGCAAGAAGATACACAACTTGTCTCAGCACTTGTCAGTCCTCATCATAAATCAATTATGTAAAATGACATCAACTATGTACAAATTAAAGCACAATATAGAAGAAATTTTATCTTGTCACCACTGTCATCAACATAAATTTTCATTGTTACACCTATTTATCTATATCTCTTTGCCATTTTGGTCCTTCTCTCTTTTCACAAATGTTGGGTGAGCATCTGCGATGGGCGGGCACTCTTCCAGGTATAGAGGCTGTGATGGGCTGGATGAAGGTCCGTGCTCCCACGGAATTCACCTTCCAGTGGGAGAAGGAAGGCAGCCAACCGTATGGAAACCAATGAACAAGGTCATTTCCAACAACGATGGATACCACGGGAATCAGAACGAGGATGAAGTGGTTGTTGAGATGGGGTGATCTGAGAAAGCCTGGAGAGGTAACACCTTAACTGAATGACATTTAACCTAAATGACAGTAATAGCCACCCATGCAAGGACATGGGGGAGGACTTATTAGCAGAAGGAACAGGTCAAATACGCTTTCAGAAAGAACAGGGCTAAAGTATCAAGAATAAGAGGAAGTCTGCAGGAGTCAAGATTCACGAGGCAGGGGTTATGTTGAGACCAGCAGACCCTGGGAAGGAGTTTGGAACCCCCTGCCACACTTTGTTCCTTTATACATTTACAGTTTACCTAGTCACCACCAATCATTTCCTCACTGGGCTGAATTATTCCAGACCCTTTATTTTCCCTTTTAGGTCATCACTTCATAATAGCTTAACAGTGAGGGCAACTATTCTTCAGAAATACTTTTGTATTTTCCAAAAGTTATAAAATCTTACAGAGAAAGGACACCAGGAATCAGCCAATCCAGTCTCTTTATTGTCCATTGGCTCTCTGAGGTCAAGTTTTCCTAATAAATAGGGGAGAAAAATCTAGCCTGCTTTAGGAATATACTTGGTTAGTTAAGAAAAAAATCTGGCAGTCCTGAAGGCCTGGATAATTATTCTTAACAAAAAGGGTCAAATCAATGTGGAAAATAAATGTTTATATATTCTGATTCAGTGAAAAAAGAAAATGCAATATTCCAACCATCTTCCACAATGTACCTCCAAACTTGAAATTAAAAGAACAGACCCCATGAGGTTGACTTGAGGATTTTTTCACATGCAATACACACCACACTGGAACTCCTTAGCCTGGCAGTGGAGATCCCACCATTCTTGTCCCTTCCAGCTTCATCTATCAGTTCCTGCTCGCCTCCGGGCTCCCTGCTGCAGCCTCAGACATGCTTCAGGGTGATACCAATGGAAACACAACCTGGAAGGCCACTGGGACGAGACTTCCTACCAGCACGTAAGACTGGTGTGTTTGGGGTCAGAACTCTCCTGTGGCCCATGAAGTGCAGCCTAATGCATTCTACGTGTGGCTAAGTGACCTTTCCACTGGGAGCTGGCAAACCACAGCCCACTGACTGTTCTTGTAAATGTTTCACTGGAACGCAGCCACATCCATTCATTTGTGTCTACGGTTGGTTTCTCAGGACAGCAGCAGAGCGGAGTGGTGGTAACAGAGACTGTCTCTGCTCCTCAAAGGTTTGCATCTCCATCTGTGAACTGCCAGACACTCAGATGGGCTTCCCCCTCTCCTCCTGTATTTCTTATAAATTCCATTTATATTTCCTTAGGCATGAGCCTGCTTCTGTGTCCTCACAGCGACTCAGACAGCCTTCATCACTGATGAGTCTGGCAATCCATCCAGATGATGCTGCCTGGTCCTTCCTCCTCAGACTGGACCCTTCAGATAATGACTCTCCCAGCCTTACACTGGGGTTCACTACCCTGTGACGGTGGTCACTTGAACTCTGGTGGGACAATCCCCAAGGTCACTGGACTGGGAACTCCTCGGAGATGAAAACTATATTCCTGCTTCACACGTGGATCAGACTCAACAAAGTCCTGAAAGAAACATTTAAAAGGAAGGAAAAGGAGGGAAGAAAGGCAGGCAGAGCTTGAATGCACTGCTGATCCTCCACTTGAGAGCGTTCAAAGCTAACAGTTGTGCTCACGAAAACAGCATGGCCAATGTCTAGTCTGCATTTGTTGTCAGCTTCCCTTTTCTCCTTCAGTTTCAATCACCAAATAGCACCCAACTTTCCATTCTCGAGACCCTTTCCAGAAAAGTTCCTTTTGACCATTCTTTCTGATAGGCTGGTCCAATTCTGAAGTAAGGTTTTCAGATGAAAAAGCTCAGTTAAAGGCTTGGTTAGGTCTGTGACCAGAAGCCAACACCCAGCTTCCTGCCCACATCTCTTACCCCAAATGCTGCTGGGCTCACCGGGGAAAATCCATTTTGCTGGGGTACCAGTTCTGCTGCTCTTGGAGCACCGGGGTCAAAGCCCGATTCCCACGCATCTGTTTTCCTCTACCACTCGTGCTCACGCACTGACTTCCCATCCTGGCTTGAAGGCTTTGATGAATAGTTTCCAGACTCTCACCAATTTGTCTTCTGCTTCCCTGCCAGCTGAATGTGTTTATTTGTTTTGGTCCCACTGCACCCCTAACCCACCATCCACTGCAGAGTGAAGACAAAGGAAAGCCCCCCACCTACTCCCACAATGTGCTTCATGAAATCAGACACTGGCATATGCAGCTTCTCCCTCCCGATCAGATACAAGAGGCAACTGACACCCTGCATCAGACATTCAGTTGTCACCGAGCAAGCAAGAGGGGAGGGGAAGGTGGCATTGATAGATGACTGCATCTGCGCAGTATTATCCAAATAATTCAGCAAGTACTCCGGAGGCCTGCGCTGCCAAGCCACAGCAAAGAACCAATTTACTGCTGATGACTTCAGAAATGATTCTATTTATCTACAGAACCCTGAGAACCCCAGCATCTTTAGCAGTCTCTACCTAAAGACCCGGCTAAGAAGTAGTCCCTGTATGTCTGCTACTACCATCAGCAAGGTGAGTGATTATTATGATAGAGAACTCAAAAAGTCTCTTTTTTTCTAGATAGATAGGTAGATACAAAAGGAAGAAAGGGAGAGAGGGAGGGAGGGAAAAGGGGAGGGCTGGACGGACAGATGGATGGATGAATAGATTTTTTCACTCAGGTTTAATCTCCAGGAATGTCACAAAAGATAACATTTACTTCTTATTTTGCACATGACAAAATTAAGGAACTATAACTTGAAAAGGTTTTTCAAGTCCATATTCACCAACAGAAATGGAGACAGAATTAAAACTCAGACAAATTATTATTCTAGAGCAATGGTTCTCAACCAGGGGTGCCCCTCCTCAGGGACATTTGTCAATTCCTGGAGACATTTTTGGTTCATGACAAGAGGTAGGACAGCAAACGGGTTAAGAGCTACTGGCATCTGGTGGGTGGAAGTCAGGGATGCTGGTTTATGCAACATCCTACATGGCACAGGACAGGTACCACACAGAGAATCATCCAGTTAAAATGACAATAGTGCCAAGGTTTTGAAACCCTTCTCTAAAAATGCAGTCACTAAATTGTCCCATTGCCTGTTTTTGTCAATAAAGTTTTATTGGAACACAGACATGCTCTTTGTCCTTTATGTATGGTCTATGGCCGCTTTGCGGCTGTCACAGCAAAGTACATAGCTGTGACCAAGACCATGTAGTCTCCAAAGCCTAAAGTAACTACTAATGAACCTTTTGCCTGAAGTTTGCTAACCTCTGTGCTATAGCATAGGTTATTATGGGATAGAGACCAAAGGGTATCCCTTCCTTGATAACCAGAGAGCACACACCATGCAACCTAAGGCAGCACTGTTCTCAAAGACTCCAAGATAAAGGGAATCATACAACACAGTGGTCCTGTGCAGAGTGGGTGGATAAGAATAATGACTTAAGAAGGTAAGTGAGACCTCGTAGAAAACATTCCCAGAAAATCCTCCCATGATCTCTTTGCCCGAATGTCATCCACACTTACTAACTATGCCAACCCTAAGCATTAAAATGTCCACATAAGATGCATCCTGACAGAATACGAGCACCTTCATAATGGATAGCCTCCGCCTTTACAAGGAGCATTGTCCTGGGCCTACGCAGATGAGAGTGACAACGTGGAAATCAGTACCAGCAGCTGTCATTTGTTGAGCACCCCTGGCTGCCAGGCCCTGGAGGGGAAGCATCAAAGTAGGTCCTTAAATTTTACACCAGGCTTAGCTGAATGTGGAAAGTGATGTTTTCCGTTGTAAGATGTAAAGGGGCTGGTGTACTTACTTCCTCTTTCATGTCTTCAGAATCCGAATCTTTATCCACTTCGTCATCACCATCATCTTCGAGATCCTCTGGGTGGAGAAAAAGAGACGAGATGGTGAGGCTTCCCCTTCGTCTTGGGTCTGGCTTTCACTGTACAATGCTTAATATTTCTTCCTCTGGCAAATGAGGAGGCCATTAGTAAGAGCACGGTATCCCACACGTTCTAATACTTACTGGTGGTACATGTAAATCATATGCACATAGGCACACAAGAGCACATATCACAAAGTCTGAAGAGCTGTCCCACATTAAATGCAAAACGCAGAATAAGATGACACATGAATCCCACTCTGGCTCCCCCTACCCAATTTAGAAGTATTAATGCAACTAGCATATGTGCAAACGTTGCTGCAACTTAGCACCTTAGCTGATTCCCTAATTTTGACAGGAAAGAACTGACTTGTAACAAAAGTCCATAGAAAGCATCCAGTGCCATGTGGCAAGACGATGGCTATGGAAAAATCTGTTCCATGGAAGGAGGACAGAGTTGGAAAGCACTAGAATCATTTAGCAACGAATTTATCATAGAGACTGGCTAAGCATACCTTCAAATATTCTAATATGACTACCATGGGGTTGTAAATAGCAGAAGTTTTGTTTCACTTTCATACTGCAGGCAAATTAATTCCAGAGCCAGTCAATGCAATGGAGAGAATCAATCATGGGATTAGGAATATTTTTTTTAATTAGCCAGGATGACTGTATAAGCATTCACTAGCCACCAGTCAAAGTGTCAATAGTTAATAAGACAAAATAAGTGAGTTGGTACTTGTTCACCCTGTGTATGAAAAACTTGCTTTTTCATGCATACTTCTAACTAGCTTACTAGATGGACTCTAAGGTCTGACCTGTAAGAACTGATTCTCCTTTCATCTGCCTTCCTCTGAAACACGGCAAACATGCAAAAACGCCTCAAAGGCTCACAGTGGCTTACTTTACCTTCAGTTAGAACACATGGAGGTTCAGAGGTGATGCTCCCAGGGCCCGGGAAGGTGTACGCACTGCTGGCCGTGGCCAAGGGAAGGGGACACTTCGGGTAGCACTGCCTCAGGATGTCAAGCATGATGGAGAGGACAGGTTCTAAGCTTTTGTCATCCAGGCAGTTCTGAGCAAAGAGAAGATAATACTGGATATTGACATCTTGCAATGTGTCCCCTCGTCACAACAGCATTTCAGGTAATGAATGACACATGGCCTAAGTGGACAGTACACGTCCTTGGTGTACACTGTCTAACCTGAACACTCTAATGTAGACCACTGTCTACTGTAGAATCTGCTTCGGTCCAGTGTGTAATCTGCATTTTTATTTCTCCTTCATAGCTCATGTATTATTGGAAGAAATTTAGTCTGAAAACAGACTTAAAAGTTTTTCAAAGGATGCTACAACTCAGAGCAGATATTGTCCAGATAGTTGGAGGAAGAGGAGGTATAAGCATCCTCTTTGGCCATCCATGTGTCACTGTGAATTATTGCCTAAATTAGAGAGTGAGTAGATGAACTGACAGAAGTCTTACTTCTCTCTTTCAGCTGTTATCTGATGAGAAAAACAGAAAGGAAGAGATAAAATGTGAAATTAGAAGAAAAGACTAAATGAATCTCAAGGATCTAAATTAAATAACATGGCTCTTTCTCAAAGCCTATGGTTGATCCCTCACGGTACCTACCCAAAGCAAAGAAAAATTGGGTTTGCAGATGTAACATTTTGATACTGATGGAACGTGACAAGACCCTTCTTCTTAGACACTGTGAAAAATGTAAGAACAAGTTTACTAAATTGAGAGAGAGAGCGTTGGGAGTACTTCAGTATGTCTGCTATTTTCTTGGGTCTACTGACTCAGTACAGAAAGTTGACTAGCGTGAGCTTCCAATTTGATATTCCTGAGAGGTTTTCCAGGATAAACGTGGACAAGTCGTAGCATATGGAGGGTACTAAGTACTGCCACAAGCAGAGTGGCTAGGATGTCATGCAATAGCACTATGGGTAGCTCCGCATGAAAGAACATGGAGAAAAAAATGACAGACTTTCAGTCATGAAATCAAATTACCCAAATGATTCTAAAATTGAATAAAAGGCAACTTCCAAGCCAGAAATGCCTTAATACATTCAGGAGTGCTATCTCCCCTTCTGGTGCTGAAATGGTTCTAGTCCTACGTCCTGAACCAAGAGCAGGAAATGCTCTCCATGGAAAATGGACGGGCTGAGGTTATTTCATCCCTGGAGCCGGTCAAATGGTTTCAAGAGCTTCATAAAAAAGTGTGAGTACTGGAAAGAGAGATAACAGAGCATGCAGGAGGGAGGGAGAAGTAGATGGTCCATCAGAGATGTTCTGAGCTTCAATCTTAGGAGACACATAGCAAAGGACAAGCCAGGGAACTTGGTCAAAACTACCAGCATTTTGGAAACCAGGTCTGTCTGTGATTGTCAGTGGCAGTGTTCACAAATGTAATGATGCTAATGTGCTCTACTTCTGAGAGGGACAGTGCAGGAAGGATGGATAGGTTGGGCCATGCCATGAACTTGAGGGAAAGGGGGTGTAATTGAAATCTATTGAAACCAAGACATCAGGATAATGTGACAGTGTCTGCTACAGTCTGGGGAAAACATCTGTGGATTTTTAAATGATCCTTGGTTCCAAAGTAATAGAAATGCCTAGATCAACTCTCCAACACTTCCCCCATGTTAATGGATAGGTGCTGTGCAGGGTGAACTTCCAAGCCAGAAGCGAGGGTGGTACCCAGAATGCCAGGTTTAAGGGGGCCTCACTCTCAGGCTCCACAGGGCAGGATTGGCACTTGTGCTATGTAACCAGAGATTAGACTCCAGGGACAAGACTCCAAGAAATAGAATCTCCATGGATGAATGTCTCAGAATTTGGGCCCAAGGTGAGAATTTTAGGCTTACTTTTCCCATCCCTCCTCATAATACACCTGCCACTTGGACAAATGATGAAATGTGAAAGTGCTTAAAATGTTCAATTCATAGGTAACATGTTTGAGTTGGCTTTGGGATCATAAATACCCTACCTCAGCCATACATGGGCAGACAGAGTGCGGTCGCCCCCCGCCCCGCCATCCATGAACTCCTGCCAACCATAGTCCTGAAACAGATGATCCTCCTTCTAACCTACTGTCAGAAGGTCAATAACAGCCTAACGCTACATCACAAGGCTTATGTCATCCACCTCACTTCATCTTGTCATGTAAGTATTTTATCGTTTCACATCATCACAGCAGAGTGCCCCCAATACCGTAGGACATTTTGAGAGAGAGACCACATTCATGTAACTTTTGTGACAGCCTATTATCATTGTTTTGTTTTATTATTAGTTATTGTTCATCTCTGTGTCCAGTTTATAAATTAATCTTTATCATAGGTAAGTATGATTAGAAAAAAGTATGTACAAGGTGTGGTTCTCTGTGGTTTCAGGCATCCCCCCACAGATAAGGGGGGACTAGTACATGGCACGCAGCTCAGATCCTGCAGCAAGACTCGCCGAATTCAAACCCTGGGCTGACGATTACTGGGTAGCCCGGCAGTTCCTGCGCCTCTCTGTGCTGCAGCATTCTCATCTGTGAAGTGGAGATGATAACAGCACCTCTCTCATGAGGTTGTGTGTGAATCTCAGGAGGTAAAGCAGGCAAATTCCCCCCAAACAGTAAGCATTGTAAGCCCTCGCTAACGGTTACCCATAGGATGTCAGCAGACATCCTTATGCTCATAAGTCTCTCATAAGAACCTGAAAGAAGGTTACCTTTTTATCTCTACCGGATCCTAGGAGGCTGCAGCTACTAGGGGCAGAGTCCTTATAGTAACAAAATCAGCTGCGTTAGAGGGAAAGTCACCTGACACAGAGCCAGGAGTCTTGGGTTTAAATTCCAGCTCCACGTGACTAATGTACCAAAGCCACCAGTGTCCCCCATGTGCCCCCACCCAGTCCAATTGTTCCCTTGGCCCTCCCGGCCTCCCTCCTTCCTCCTGGGCCTTTGGATTCTCGCCTGTCCCAGTGGCAGCCAGAGAGTCCTGGAAGAACATATATCAGTTTAATGTGCAGAGTTTTAGCTCCAGGACAATAAGAGTGGTTCTAGAACAGTGTATCACAGAGAAGGCATATAGTGGATCTGTGGCATCTTGCTGCACTGATGGACAGTGACTGCATTGGGTATGGGTGGGAACTTGATAATATGGGTAAATGCAGTAACCACATTGTTTTTTTCATGTGAAACCTTCAAAAGAGTGTATATCAATCATACCTTAATAAAAAAATTTTTAAAAAAAGAGTAGTTCTAGAGATGGGTTTACACCACAGTGCACATGCACCTCACACTACCTAGCAGTACAGGAAGTGTGAGCATGGCTCAGGTGGTCAGCTTTACGTTATATGAATTCCACCATAATTAAAATTTTTACATTAAAAAAATAAAAAGCATAAATCCTATCAGTTCACTCCCCTGCTTCCAACCTTATAGAAATAAAATCAGAATTTATTCTCATGGTCTAGAAAGCTCTACGTGATCTGGCCTTCCCAAATTCTCCAACTCAGACCTTTCCCCCTCTTCAAACCTTCTTAAAATCTGAAGGAAATAGGCCCCAAACCCTTTCCCACGGCTCCAATGCTCTGGTCCCAGCTATGCCTCCAACTTCATCTCCTTCTCTGGCCTCTGCCACACCAGCTTCCCTGTTTCTTGGGCTCACCCACCTCCCACCTTCCCCTCCAAGCTGAGGGCTGGCATTCACCTTTCTCTCTCTTCCAGGAGCCCTCATACCCAGACCTTCCCATCTCTTGCCATTCGGGCTTCAGCTCCGGGAGCCAGCAACCCCTGCTGGGAGTGACCCGTGCTCTCCCCTCTCTGCAGCAACTCTGAACACAGATGGGCAAATTCTAAGTGCACAGCACATGTGCTGTAGTTTCAATTTAGGGGTGCCTGACACGGGAACGCCCTTGGTTTGAGACCCTCTGGTTCATTCTTGCCAAGCTCTTTCCTTTTGCAATGACACCCCAAATGTCTTGTGTGTCCCACGAGCCCTACCCTGCTGCCCGCTCCCACCTCTGCCTCTGGTACCTGCCCTGCACAGCGCACGAGCCAGGTTGTCTCTCTCAGGCTTTCCAAGGTGTTCTCCTGGCCTGACCCAGACATCACTGGCATTCTGCTCAAAGCTGCTCCGATCAGCCAAGAAGGACTGGAGGTCTCCTTCCTCTGTATGGCTTTGCCAAGCCCCCTCTTGCGCCCCAGCTGTGCCTATCCTGTGGTTATCTGTACGTGGCTTCCCCTGTAGGATGATAAGTTTCTGGAGGATGAAGCTACCACCATCATCTACGATCTCCCTGTATAGCCAAACTGCAATCCCTTTCACTAAGCAGGACCTCGGGCAACATTTGCTGAATAAATAGAAAATGATCTCAGATCAACCTGATCTCCAGACTGTTTGGCTCCCGATTCTGGGTGGGTGAGATTCCCTTTAGGATGCAGCCCTTCCGCCCACAGATCCAGAAGGCAGGGATAACTGGTCCTATGGACAAAAGGATTCCTGATGAACGAAGACTGAACCCACCACTCTTTCAGAGCAAGTGGCAGTAGCTGCAACTTTAAAAAGGTTGCCACTGCTTATCTGAGTGGTTCTCAGAGTGAGGTATCCATCCCACAGTATTAACATCACCTGAGAACTCGTTAGAAATGCAGAATCTTGTACCTCAACCCAGACCTGCTGAATTAGAAATTCTGGGAGTGGGAGTCTAGCATGCTGTGTATTAACATGTACGACAGATGGTCCGTGCACACGGCCAAGCTTGAAAACCACCCATTTCAGCAGCGTTTTAGGTTTCTTTAAGCTATTCAAACTCCCCCGAGTGGCGCCTTTACCTAATTATTGCACACAAGTCTGCTATTTCTGCAGTTACTCATATCCCCAAATTGTTAACTATCTCATACCGTTTCAGGGCATCCTTGTAGGGGTTCTTTCTGAACCTTACATTCAAATTGCCATCCTCCTTCCTTCCTCATGCACAGCTCTGACTAGAACCTGCCACATTACCTGGCGCCTGCACTGCGTTATAGGCAATCTGATCCTTTGAACACTTAAGGGATTCTTAAAGGATCTGTGTAAGAACACGCAAGCCAGGAAACAAAGACATGGGGTCATCTGGAGAGAAACTCGGGGAGCAGGGGCCTCAGCAGAAAGGCAAAGAGCAGTATGTTGGGTAAAGGCTGAAGGAGGAACTCAAAAATCATTCTCACACCCAGTAGGTTTGTAATCACATCGAAACCACCAGTAAAAATGCTATAGGACAAGGGTTTCCGAAGCGTGGCCCCCAGACCAGCACCATCAACACTTCTTAGGCACTTGTTAGAGATGCACATTCTCAGGTTCCACCCCAGACCTGCTGAATCAGAGACTCTGAGGCTGGGGCCCTGCAACCTCTGTTGTAATGAGCACTGCAGGTGGGTCTCCTGCACGCTCACCTGGAGAACTGCTGCCCGGTGGACAGGACCATGGAGTCTTCGGCAAGACCACTGCTTTCAAATCCTTTAAAATGTTGGAGTCAGACGCTGCATTCACCCTAAGCCAGCTCCGGGCTGTAGTAAGCACTCAATACAAATGTCACCCCCTCCTCCTTCTTTTCCTTCCTGGTTTTCATAGTCATTATCACCACCAACCGTAACAGCAGCAGCACTATTATAACGTGCAAATAACCACTGAAATGACATCACTAGGTCCAAGGTGGCCATCCAGTGGCTCACGCGCCTTCCGTGGTAGAAGAGGGGAGGGCGATGATGGGCAGTTCAAACTCCAGCACAGCCACAGTGGCATCTGTGCCCACAGCACCTAGCACAGGTGCTGGGAGGCTCTTCAGGCTAAGGAAACATCTCCACAAAAGGCGAGGTCTGCCTCCATTCACTTCCTGCTTCCATTCCGGTGGTAACTGGAGGCTCCGATCTTGGAAATTTGCTTAATTGAGCAGCTGAGCTCTTCATCGACCTGCTGGGCAGCTGCTTCTAAGTTCCTGAGTCTAGGGCGCTGCCCCCTTTCTTGCCTGGGTTTCTCTGGATATTTTCTCCACCCTATTCCTAGCATGAACATGTACCTCTGGGATTACCATTCTCTTCCTTTATTGCTCTTCTAATTCTTTTTAACACAGATCAGAGAAACGGGCCATACTGCACTAAACAGAAGAACTGGCTGGCACACACAAGCTGGAGTGGGGGCTTTTAGGCACCAGCAATGCACAGCGTGTTTCACTAGGGCTGGAAAAGACTGGAAACTCAGGGGACACAGCTTACAAAGTCTGGTGAAGCCTGGGAAAATTCAAGGCACTGCTTCATCCAGAGAAATAGAATGTAAAATGCAGCTATTTCATGACTGAGAAGCTCTGAAAGCTATCATGATGGAGAGAAAACCACAGTTGATAGCAGATAGAAAATTAGATATTGGTTTGCAGCAAAGTATTATGTTATTGTTTAGAGAAGGGGCGGAGAAAAATGTCTTTCCTTTTTAATGGGAAAAGTCTACAGATACCATGGTTGGGAAACAGCCCTCTTGCTGACTGATTCGTTGCGTCAGAGGTACTCAGGTGGAGACAAACGGGAGGGCATTCGGAGCTGGGCAAGGGGGGCAGACACACAGGTGACAGCAGAGCAACAGAGGTGCCTGGGCCCAGGAGAAGGTGAGTGAGCAGCCGATGGGTAAAATTTGGGAGGTGTCCCATCATCCAGAGGGGGTATATGTAGCCCCACAGGACGGTGTTTAAATTAGCCCCAGTTAAGTGACATCAAGGAATTTGTATTTGGGTTGAAATCCAGGAAACCTCAGACCACACAGTCCACTGGGTGCAGACAAGCAGCAGTCCTTGCAGGGGCTCCCCTTTGCCTGGATGCTTTTTCCTTCTGAACTTGGTCTGAGCTGTTATTTGGGAAATTCAGGTCTCAGCTTAGGCATCACCTCTCTAGGAGAACACCTTCCTCTGCACCTCTGGCACTCGGCACCCTTACTTTGTTGACCTCACAGAGCAATATGAAATGATCGTGCCCATTGAATCCTTTGCTCCTTTAGTATCTGACTCTCCTGCTAGACTGTTTACCCCACAAGGCTTTGCCCACTAGGCCACCACCAGATCGTCAGTTCTAATTATTCCATGAACTGCTCACACCCTTAAAGCTCGTCAGTCATGGCAATCCTCCCCTCCCACCCCGCACTAAGCACAAGGCATTTCTACATTAATGTATATCGGCCACACCGCAACCCAGATTTTATTTCCAGTTTGTTTGTTTGTTTGTTTTCTTTTTGAAGAAAAAGAAACTGAAGATCCAGAGAAGATGGATCTCCAAAGTTTCCCAGCTCTAGGTACTAGAGTCAGGATTTGAACCTGGGTATTCTAGCTTTAGAGTCAACACACCCACAGTGCCACAGCGCGTGGCCAGTAAGTAGCCACTAAATCAATGAGCCAGTCAGTGCAGGTTTGAATGAATGAACAAGGATTGGAATCCGGAACATCTGCCCGTGGCGGGCAGCAAGAAACGTACTGAGGTTTTCCCAGCTGTGTTCAGGATGATTCCTAAATAACAGTCTTCAGGAATCCTCCCGACGTCACGCAGCTGCAGAGGTAACCGCTATGTTCATTACCTGCGCGGTGCTGAAGAGGATCTCCATGCCCTGAGCCGCCAGGAAAGCCTCCCTGCCAGACCGGCAGGTGGCGCTGTGCTTGAGGCAGAGCAGAAGCGCCCGGCGGATCGGCACGTGGGTGTTGGCCGTGTCGTGGAGGTGCCAGTCCTGATGCAGCCTGAGCAAGACTGTGACGTAGCCTCTGTTCACCGCCCTGCGGCTGTTAGACTCTGAAGCCGACAGGAAAAGGCAATGTCAATCAAAGGCTCTCCTGGCCGCACCTACCTCGCAGGATGTCCCAGTATACCTCCCACTAGATACTTAATTATAATGTGAATGATAATCACCTTAATCAAATGATCAGAGTCAGTATCACCAGATATGATGCACTGTGAAAACCACATCACCATTTCTAAGGTTTTCCTGTCCAAAATGCGTAACCTGAATTTAACCATGAGAAAAATCAGCAAACCCAAAATAAGGGACACGCTACAAGACACCTGATTTACACTCTTCAAAAACGTCGAATTTATGCAAAGCAAAAAAAAAAAAAAAATGACTGAAGAACCAAGCTAAATTAAAAAGACATGGCATGTAAATACAATATAAAATTATAATGTAGATCCTGGGTGGGAAAATAATTTTTTTCTTTCGCTACAAGAGGCATTAGGGAAGCAGTTGGTGAAATTTAAATAAGGTCTGTAATTAACTAATAGTATTGTATCACTGTATATTAAATTTTAATACACTGTGGTTTTATAAGAGGAAAATCCTTGTTTTTAGGAAATACACAACTGGAGTATGTGAATATCTGTAACTTACTCTCAGAAAATTTTAAAAAGTTGTCATAGTGATGGGAAGTGTGATGAAAGAAAGAGATTTCTATCAGATTTCCATTCTTGTTTCAGTGGATTTAGGATATTGTTAGGTTACGCAAACTACAAAGTTTAGGAGAAACTATTGAGTGAGACATAATATCTGAAAGGCTGTTATGTGGTGGGTGTTCTATCTAGAATGAATGGAAGCCAGTTTACGGATAATTAAAGGTTTGTCCCAATCCAGGAAGGCAATTCCTCACGGTCAAGGCTGTCCAACAAGAGGATGGACTGTGTGCAGAAGGGGGCAGCAGGCACTGAAGATGTTCAGGCAGAGGGTGGAGATCCACCCAGCAGGGACACGGTGTGGGGGTTCTTACACCTGGTGGGAAGCTGTAATATTGCTTTTCTGGTTCCCTTCACCTCTTCACCATGATTTCTCTCTGTTAGTTGAATGCTCCTGGCTGAGATCTTCCATGAGACCCATCTTAGAAGATAACTGATGCTTCCCTAAGTTTCCCAAGATATAGTTGAAATTCTCTTTGGAGAAACACGGGGGAAGAAAAGTCCAATATACTTTTCTCAACAGTTAATATATGCCTCTTCTCGGATTAAACTCCTCAGGCTACAGGGCTGGCGGGCAAACATGCATGGGTTCAGATCTAGCCAGCAGATGCCTGGTCCTCTGCCCCTGCGAGTTAGGTGCCTTGCAGGACTCTGACAGGCTGACTCACACACAAATACCCAAATCTTGCAGCTCTGCCATCTCACTACAGCATGTCTCCACTATCCCCCCCGTTCACACTGGTTTATGGGACAATAGATGCTTCTGGCCGGGTATGTGTGAGAGAGACCCCCTGGGCTGTAATTGGGTCAGCAGAATTATAGCTCAAAGTCAGATTGTCCCCTAAGACCACGTAAGTGCATGTGGGTGAAAAAAAAAACAACATGGAAACTCAGTGCTGTGTTCCACAGGGCTTTTCTCATCATATTAATGGAATTTTCTTTCTTTCTTTTCCTTCTGCTTGTTTGTCAATTCTAAATTGTCAGGCTTCACTGAGCCCCACTGGGATTTTTGACCCATCTGTGCAGTTGGTTTTACTTATTTATTATTATTTTGTTTCACTTTCAACATTTCATTCAGCCATGACCCTGAACTGAAACTGATGAGCTTTATGCACCCAGGGATGTGTTTGCAGAAGGGTTAAATCGCCTTCATTACCCCTTTAATGAATGATTCTTTTGTATCCAAAATATTTCTTTCCTTGGCTGGTCCCAGCCACAGTGCCCTAGAGTTCTTTACTGCCTAAATGAGCTTCCAGCCTACCCAGTATCTAATGTTTAGAAGAAAATTGAGGATTAAGTAGGAGGTATTAGAGGAAAGCATCGCCTGCTAAAAAGAAGCCAGAACGGCACAGTGCACAGAGACCTCGGGGGCAGTAGGAGGTTAAGGACTTTTGAATCTATTTTAAGGGTCTCAGGCTAATAACACATTATCCTAATGACCTTCATCCCCCCACTCTTTGGGAGAGGCTAGAGGAAGGGAAAAACTCTTTAATTGTTTGAGAGGAAAAATCCCTTATCGAATCCAGTGATTTTATTCATGATTTCCTGCTAATCCTCAACAAGCTGTCATGTTTACTAACATCTAGAATAGCTACACCTCCTCCCCGCTGACCCTACATCAGTCATTCTTTCTTTGAGAATGGCTTTGGGAGTTTTGCAAAAATCGATACGTATCTAAAACCCAACAAGAGGAGAATCATCAGACTGAGGCAGAGCAAATGCGGAGCAGAACCAGAGAATGAAATGGGGGTCGCAGGGATCAGCGACTTGCAGAATTTGAGAGGCACACATTGCTATTAAGGGAGGCCAAAGAGTGAGGAGAAAATGTGGGGTGTCAGACACTGTCTTAGGCGAGCTTAGGGTTTGGGGGAGGGGGGCTCCAAAACAGAGCAGCTGCACTTCAGTCTGTTCATAAAAATGGCTTCCTCCTAAGTTTTTTTCTTGGAAAAAAAAGTTCTGGTCCTTAAATTTAAAAAAAATGTCCTAAGTAGATTGGTGTCTCTTCAACTAGTTGGAGGACAGGGATGGGTGGACGGAGAGGAATCTGGGGGTCTTTAACACCTCACCCCCACGCCCCCCTCCCTCCTGCCCCCAGTCTCTATCACCCACCCCGTAGCCTCCCCCTGACGGTCTCATCTGGCCTGGCAAATCTATGAATTTATCCTTGTCCTCACCCCCAATTTACTCTCTTATATTCAACTCTTTCTACCAGATTACATCCTCCCAAGGTCTTGTAGCTAATGCTCAGTCTAAAATACAACCTGGCAATATCCTTACTTCACCAAGGTTCAAATGTTTGTCTTCAGTGCAGACCCCATTGATGTAGATTTTTATACTCAGGTTAAAAAAAGGAAACAAAAAATCAAAGAACCCAAAAAAACTAGAAGAGACTATGCCAAGATGTCAGTGGGACTCATGGGGGAAGAGGATATTGATGATTCTATTTGTTCTGGACTTTCTCGATTTCATTCAGACTTTTCCATAGTTTGTATTCCCCACACACCCTACTATGACTTTAGGTATGAGGAAGAAACAAAACACCTGTTACCCTTTGACAGGCGGTCCAGGGACCATTGGGAGGCCTCTTGTAAACCCCAGTGGGCAGGGCAAACAGTCCCCAGGTTGCCATAGTAGCCAGCTCACCTTTTCTGTCTAAGCCCATCCCCTTCAATGTGAGTTACCTGCCCAGCCCCGGAAGGCATTTGAGGTCATGACCACCTCTATAAAGATGTTCATCTTTTCAACAGAAAGGCCCAGAGCCTTCAAGCCTCAAAGATTGAACTTTTCATGGGGACTCTTTGGCCCCTTGATGGACTGGTGGAGAAATGCTTGGTGACCCAGATCATGACACCCGCAAGGAGCCCACTGCTCTGTCAGGTATTTGGCGAAACCAAAGGAAGTTTTCATCACTGCTTTTTTATTCCCCATATCTGAGAACTTCATCACCCCTTCAAGGGTGAGGTGATGACTTACAGCAGAGGAGATGTGGGAATCTGCAGCACAGAAATGAGCCGGCATTTTACAGCCACAGCTCTAGGAATGAGACGTTCAAATCAGTGCAGACCTCTGAGCTCACCCTCCCCATACTCGTGTTCCCTGCATGGCCATGCTGTGCCCGCTCTGTGGGCAGACCCTTCAGCTGTACTTTTTTCTGGAGTCTTTTCCCCCACCCAGAGCTCCACTATCTTCTAGCTGTGTGACCTTGACTGTATCACTTCACATCCATCACTGAGACTTACCTGAAAAGCAAAATGAATAATATCCTTTTCTTGTACAAGTATTGAGAAAATTAAATGAGATGACGTGTATAAAGTAGATAGTTTGATGACTGGAACCTCAATACCTGGGCCTGCTATAACTGCCATCACCATCATGACGAACACCAGCTGTGTATTATTCCAATTTCCCCTCCATTATTATGGACAACAAGTACCAAATGCTCAGGATATGAACACTTTCGACAGCCTCATGCAAAGAACAGGAGCTCCAAGATTACGTAGCGGTTGACTCAGATTTTGGCTCTATCTTTTAAGTTACTTAGCCATTCGGAACTATATTTCCATTATCTGCAAGTATCAAAGCAAGATAGGAAAACAAAAGGTGAACATAATTAAAGCATCGTCGCTACAAGTCTGTTATAAGGGATGATGGCAGCGCAGAGCACCTGACCCTGAGGACACGCTCAGTACAGGAGAATTCCCTTTCCTCAAGGATGACATCCAAGCTTCACATATATTTTACCAATGAGAATAGATGAAGGAAAAGTTACAAAATAAGTAAAATTTATAATCAGGGTTCTTCAATCCTCCTGTAATATCACTGACTTCTTAGCCCAAATGGCCACCAGTTGTATATTGCTAGCATCTGTCCTTAGACACACTGAGGACAGAGTCCCCTTTATCCCAGGGACCCTTACAGACAATGTCCAGAATGCAGATCTTTATAGTTCCCTCTCTGGCAAAATCTACCTCAGTTGGGTTCCACTGCACTAAAGCTTTTTCAGAAGACCGGTTAGGGCTCTAAGATCCTCTTGCTTGGTAATGGTTTAACAGCCTAACCCTTGCTTTTGATAAGATACCTATGAGTGGGAATAAATACAAGGATCCCAGGCCCCCATCATTCTTGAGAATACAAACCATCTTCAGCCACACAGCATACTACATATGACGTTGCTATGCTGGGAAATGCTTGCCCAGGAAGATTAAATAGCTTTGTTAATTGTCTCAGGAACTTCATGAAAATCCATTCATATGAACTACTGACAGCACTGCTATCTACACTTTTCAGGAGAGCAGCCCCTTCTCACAGCAGAAGACCTACTCAATGGGGCTTCTTGAAAATCCCATTTG